ACGTCAACTATTAGAATTAAAAATACACCACCCTTCTTTTTCCTTAGATCATCTTTTTAACATTTCTAGAACAAACAGATTTCAAAATTGTGAATAGCATTGCATCCTGGTTCTGCTTTAAAAACAACGAATTATTTACTTTAATGCTATACTACACAACCAAAACTCTACACCATATGCATGCATCTATCTATTTTAGTTCAAGAGCAAAAAATAGGCGAGACAACTGGGAAATGCCTATGCCTAGCCATTAGACATGGCTGCAGTTAAGTTGCATGTATAGTGGGGGGTGTTGAAAGCAAAAAAATGTGTTTCTATGTGGTGGAGAATGGTGAAGTACTATAGAGAAGGCAAACATTTGGTTGCATGTTTCAGGGGGCAACTGAGGCTTTAGCTGTGGGGCTTTCTGGCTTCTATAAGGTTGTGCTGGTAGAAAGTTTCTGTGTATAGCATTCACTGGTAGGTTTTGGTTTTTTGAGGGGGTTTTTCTTCTTATTTTTGCATACGCTTTTTGTCTACCATATGTTATAAACCAGGGGTGGGCAAAATACAGCCTGCAGGCCAAATCTGTCCTGCCAAGCCATTCTATCTGGCCCACTGGGGCCCTAAAAAATTTAGTAAATTAATATTTATCTGCCCCTTGCTGCCTGTCAAAAATGACAAGGCACCAGGGGCGGTAGGACCCAGGGGGAGCTGGCAGCAGGAAACAAGAGCAACGCCTCCCCAGCCCCCAACCAGAAGCCTCTGGCTAGCAGAGGCTTCTGGCCTGGGACCCTGGGACTGTTCTCCAGCTCCCTCTGCCAGAGAGGGAAATTCAAATAAGAAAGTTTGGGGAAGGGGGGGAGGCAGACTTTACATCAAAGAAATAGTTTTATGCTTTCCTTCTCAAATACACTTTCATATCATTAAACACATCCAGAAGTCATTCGGTATTTTACTTATAGGTCTATTGTACTTTCAGCACCTTTGCCAACTTTAAGCCGTCTAGAATCAGTGTATCCATTTGTTTTGGGGAGGGAGGATGTGGTTAATTTTTTTTTTTTTTTTTTTTACACTTTTATTTATGAATATCACCATTGCTAGGCCTTGGTCTTGTAATTATCTTTGATAGGGTCAAAATAAAAGGTGAATAATCTAAGTATATGTCCAGACTGCATCTCTCCCTGAGCAGACACTCAGTCATTTCTACCCTGACTCCTTTACTTGGAAGATGCCCTTTGTAAATTTCTACATACATTTCTAGTAGCCACAAGATACCTGCAAAGCCAACACCTCAAAAAACCACCTCCAGGAAAGCCAACATCAATGAATTGGGATTGTTTTGGAGCAAGAATACGTTACTCCCACTCCTCAAACTTACAGATCTGGGGACTTTGAGATCAGCTGGATGTTGATGGTAGTTGCTAAAGAATGCAAGGGCCCAGCCTCAATCAAAATCAACATCTTATTTTGAGGAAGGAATTCAAGTATAGTCCATGGAGCCCATACATTCTGACCTTGTCAAGAGGTCCTGTGAATGGTCTACAAGTGTTCAAGTGGATCAAGCAGTCCAGGAAATAGAGCATCTTGAAGTATTCCACTTGAGATAGAACAAGGCAAGGAAGTACCCTTCTGACATTAAGATTAACAAAAATTATGCATAGTTTAATATAGAACCATTGCATACTGGATTTATCTTGTGTGTGACCTAAACTTTTTTTTCATTCACTTGTCTTATTTAAAAAAACAGATTTAAAGAAATCAAAGGCTTTGCTTTTATTTTATTGAACAAACAAACAGAACAAAGGTTAAACAGTTAAGTGCTGTCTCAAAAACAGAAGACCTTTGCATGGGGAAGTCAGACTTCAAAGCTGAGAAGTCTAATTCCAAGGCTTCTCTTTAGGCTTCAGAGAGAAGTCATCAAGTTCTCATCCCTCAGTGTTGAATACCTGCTCAGACATTCCTTAACAGCTACTTTTGCCTTTGCTGACAAGATTTTGAAAATGTTTTTTGGAACAGTTCATCATGCAAAAGTAGGATTTACTATGTGATAATGTTTTAATTGGCCTGGGGAAGAATTTTAAAATTTCCATTGCATGTTAAAATGCTTTTTACGTACCTGAGTATCAAAAAATGCCAGTTAGGGGCAGATAATAATTATGTTACCCCTGCAGGATGGATGCATAAGTGTGTGCATATATGGACTGAGCAAAGACAGTGAGGCTGTGCACTGGCCTCTTGTGTATGCAGCTACATACCTGTGTCAAATCTGGATGCATACTTGAATTTAAGTCCTGAAAATATAGGCAGCCACAAATCCATGATTAGCGGGTTTTAGAGTTTGGAGGAGGAGGATGCTCTCATATTTTAACCTTAATAGGTGAGCAGCTAGAGTACTTACCCAGGAAGCTGAAGACTGGGTTCTACGCCTCTCTTGCCCAGAATGGGCTTGAAGCTGCATCTCTCTGACTTCCCATCTCTGTGCTCTAACCACCATACCATTACTGAGTTAAGCATTACTGAGAGCTTCCTACATACCCACCCAGTGGATAGCCCTATTGTGCATGCTCAGTCTACATGCGTAGGCTTATTTAGCTGAGTACAAAGCAAGGAGCAAAAACGTGCAAGCAGACAGCTTGAAAGATGTATTTTAGACCTGCAAATAGAATTCCACTCTTGGTCCTTAACATTAATCTCTTCTCTCCCACCCCCACCCCCATCTGACAAAATTGTCATCTAGAGATGCTGTCTTTTCACATAGGCAGGCAAGGTTCTTTGGTTAGAAGTGTTATCTTTTATTAGACCAACTGAGTAGTTGGAAAAAGGTTCTTAGTAAGCTTTTGGGCACAGTCACCCTTTGTCAGGCATAGGGAGTCTCTGCTGTTCTGAGATTCCAGGGCTAGGGACAGACATTACATATACACAGGTTTAAGTGATCAGAAGCTGGTTTAAACCTGTAATAGAAAAGATGTTCAGTGCACATAAACCCATTTGAAAATGGCTGAAACCGGTTTAAAAGAAACCTAGTTGAATGTAGTATCAGACTTAACTGATTTGGGTCAAACTGGTTTATGCAACTTCTGCCCCAGACCCCTTGCTGATTTAAGATAAACCAGACACCCCCAGCCTCCCAGCATGCTCCTGGGCTGGGTGGGGATCTCTGCTCCACAGGTGGGCTGGCCCCTCCCCTCTGCTCCCTGGCTGCAGCTCCCACAAGACTGCCGACTGCTCACCCCCCCACACACACACTCCCTGCTAAGCAGGAAATTCTCTATCCCCTCTGCCTTGCAGAGAGGTGTCTGTGTATTAGCTAGCAGATCACATGCTGGCTAAGGTCTGTGCTGAATCAACGAATCAACAGGCAGAATCAACAAATAGCTGGTAGTGTCCCTCTGTTTTCTTAATTGGGTGATAAACACTATTATCAGTTCCCCGCTGGGCTAATCTGAGCTCCTGCCCAGCCTGGCCATGCCCCCCTCAGCTCCATGCTGTGGAAGGAAGGGAGGGCTGCTCTAGCGCTCCCCGGATTCTATCCTGAGGCACTGCAGGCATGTGCCTGCATTTCTGGAATGTCTGTCGGGTTAGAAAATGGATTTAGCTTAGCCAGGTTAGACTAACCTGCAAAGACGGAATCAATTCAGGCTCAGGCTTTTTGAATGGCTGTCCCTAGCCCAATGAATGAGAGAAGCTAAAAGTGTGGTAGGATGTCAGTGAAAATGTAAATTGGTTGAGATAAGCAAGACAAAAGGTAAAGCAGAGGGGGAAGAGAGCAGGGGGGAGAAAGGTGAGAGGGAGATAACAGTGATAAAATACAAGGTGGAAAAGAGGCTGTCTGTGAAAAAGGGAGTAGTTGGAGATCAGGAAAGTAGGAATGAGAAAAGCTAAAAATGTGTCTTTTCACATAGGTTTTCATGTGAGACCAGATATTGCAGATCATTACTTACTGCTTTAAAATGGGTGTTCGATTGGAAATCTAAAAAACAGAGGCTGAGTTTGTTGGTTTGAGACTGCTAATGGGATTGCAGCTCTTGGCCACTAACTTAAATTCAGTCTGCCTGGGAAGTAACTGAAAGGAGTTATCTGGTAGCTTTTCTTCTAACAACATGAAATAAACTGTCCACCTTCACACACTTCCATGTAAGCATGTATCTGCATTACAGCCTTAACTGGCTGGCTGAAAGGCCAAAGATTTAATAAGCAGTGAGACGTAAAGAACTGTTCTTTAGATCTTCACGGTTTTAATTTAATTTTTATTTCCCCAGTGTTTTATAGGGCTAAAGCTAATTTCAGTAAAAATTGATGAAAGGGCTGTCC